CCAATCTGCCGAAGAGGTCCGTCGAGAACGACGCGTTGTGCGTCGACCCCGCGGCGTCCAAATGCTCTGCCAGAGCGCCCAAACTGGACTGATGAAGCCGCAGGATGGCTCCGTCCAACATGAGAGCACTCACGTAGCACTCTGGAGCGTGTTCTCCCAGGCCGCCAACGAAGTCGCGCATGATCTCCCCCTCCACGGCAGCCAGCGCAAAGTGGGGGCGAGACGCGCGAGGGTTTGGCCTATCAGCGAAGCGGCGCCTCAAATATTCAAAACGAGGCATGTCCAACACGATATCCACGGCCGCGCGAAGCTGGACTGAGAGATCCCAAAGAAACGGAATGTCATTGGACGGCCTGCCCACTTGGACCAACCGAATCAACATATTCTTAGCTGTTTCCAATGGTATCTCGCAGTACTGCATTAGAAACTCTCGCCAATGCCTGTAATTCTCGACGAGGCTGATGAGTACTTCAAAAACCAGCTAAATCTGTCGCGGCATCTCTATGCAGATTGAGCAAAATTGCGGGACAGCCGCTGTCGACGCCCACGTCGGCAAAAAATCAAATCGCCTCCAGCCGACAACCCGACTTCAGTCGCCATGGCAATTATTGTGGCCTCTCTGCTCAAATGCGACTGCATTGACGGCCCTGCCGCGTACCATCTGCCTGGTATGCCGCGCTTGCTGTACTAGGAAACCATCATCACACCGAAATTGCCGACTCTGCGGCCGCGCGCACGGTTGGCCTCCATGAGCCGCCGTATCTGTGACACCTTGGAAGCAAAAGCCTCCTCCTCTAAGCCCTGGGCGAGCGCGGTGACGTTAATCCATTCAAAAACTTCGCATACGAACTTTTGTTCGCCATCCAAGTCTCTGCTGTCTGCTGGGTCTGGCACCACGGGGGCAAGTGGCGGCCACTTGCTTTTGCACTCCCACACCGATAACCATTTCTGTAATCCTCCGCCGAACACGCACGCATGCGTCGTGCTTGTTCAGGATCTCCGAACACCCGTCGAAATTGAGGTTGGGGAAATGCAGCTCCTGCGGGCGCCAACACAGACACATGCAATAATCACAGCAAACGTGCACCACCCCGCCCGCGCGCATGCGTGCAGTGCAGGCGCGCAACCACAATGCGCGCGCGCGCGTCGACGTGCCACGGGGGCAATGAGAGCGCGCGCCACATGCAGTCATTTTCGTTTCCACCAACTCCCGCGGCCTCCCGCCAGACTTCCACCCCGTGGGACGCGGGGGGAGCGGAGCAGCTTCATGCCTTCGGAGTTCCGCGGGCTTCCGCGGCCGCCCGCCAAGCTTCCACCGACGCTATTACTGTCCTCGGCCAAGGATGTGCGGCCCGCGCATACATCGCCCCCATTCCCGCCGCTGCCCCTTCATGGTCATTGCAAACTTCATGCGCTGGTTCCTTGGACTGCTCTTGCACCGCAACAAGATGAGTCCAAGCGTCAACGGCCACCATAATATTATCCAGCCGAGCCGGCTTGCCTTTGACCCCCTGTCTGTAAGCACCAGGCACATTTTTCAGCAGTGAGCTGGCCTGGTACATCCTCACTGTTGTCTTGCCAGCCGCGTCTCGGGGGGGCAGTCTCAACGATTGCTCTAGCATCGCATACCCGTGTAAATTCTTCAGCTGAGTTCGTGAACTCTGCTGGCATTTCGAAGCCGCCATTGGCCATCTGCGCAACGACCCTCCGAGTCTCCTCCACAATCGACTCGTCTGGGTCCAGCAGCATCTGGCGGCAGCTGCTGGCGGTGTGCTCTTGTTGGGCGTTCTGGCCGAGCATTTGTGTTTGCCGATGTTGGCGTCGAGTTTGTCCCTGTACTGCTGGGTTCCCTTGCGGGGGTTGCCCATGGCCGAAGACGGTTCTGAAGCGTGGCCGCAGAAGAACACTTGAACATAGATGCGTATTACAGGCACAACAACAATAACTATGATGATTATGCTAACGATGACGATGGTGATGGTGAGGTCATGATGACGATGACGCCGATGATGATGATGATGATGATGATGATGATGATGATGATGATGATGATGATGATGATGATGATGATGATGATGATGATGATGATGATGATGATGCTGGTGAAGCTGATGATGATGATGACGACGATGACGATGCGAATGCCCAAATTGCGAGACAGGAGGGCCCCACAGCGTTCCCCTCTCGGACAACGAGGGAGAGCGGGAAGAAGGGACGGGAAGGGACGAAGGAAGAGGGAAAACGCCAGGAGAGAAGGAGCGAAGAGGGGGGCGGTTGATTAGAGGCAGAGGGAGAGAGAGAGAGAGAGAGAGAAACAAAAAAAGGGGGGGAGGAGGCAGGAGAGGTGAGGGAGAAGGGAAGAGGGAGAGGAGGGAGAGGGGATAGGGCTGAGAGGCATAAGGATGAGGGAAAAAGAGGAGGGAGAGAGAAGGGAGGAGAGGAGGGAGGAGCGAGGAGGGAGAGGGAGGAGGAGCAGGAAGGTAAGAGCGCGAACGTTCGAGGAAGTCCTACGCGAAAGCACACTTCCTGAAGGAAGTCTCGGGCGGGAGCCCACGACGGGCGGGCGATCCCCTGACGGGCGGGTCGGGCGGGTGGGACATTCAAACGGGATGCCTGAGTATGGCGAGAATACGATTCCTAAGTAAGTTGTGACGGCGTCCTTGGCGCAGCGTGTTTCCTGAGCGTCGAAAGAGCGATCTCCTAAATGAAATGTGAAGGCGAAAGGCGAAAGCGCAACTCCTAAATGAAATGTGAAGGGCTCTTTGGCGGGAGCGGGGGGTTTATTAAATTGCGAGGAAATCTTGACTCAATTGCAAGAAAGCCTCGAGCGGGAGCGCCGTGACAGAGTAAATGGTGAGGAATTCTCAGATGGGAGCGGGGGTCCTGACTAAAGTGCGAGGGAGTCACAGGCGGGAGCACCGATGCTGGGTAAATTGTGAAGAGTTCTCACGCGGGAGCGGGGGTCCTGAGAAAATGTGGTGGAAGTCTCAGGCGGGAGCCGTTGTTGTAATCTGGGGGGCCACAGCCGCAGTTTGAGCATCAAGACTTCCCCTGCCAAAAAACAGGGTGCGAGCGTCGAGGGGCACAATTTGATTGAGACAAACCGTATGCACCGGTGAGGGGGGACCAACAAAAATTATTCTTCTGAAACAAACAATTCAACAACGACGACAACAACAACCACCACAACCACCACCACCACCACCATCACAACAACAACAACAACAACAACAACAACAACAACAGCAAGAACAACAACTACTACTACTACTACTACTACTACTACTACTCCTACTCCTACTCCAACTCCTACTCCTACTCCTACTACTACTACTACTACTACTACGAGTACTACTACTACTACTACTACTACTACTACTACTGCTACTACTACTACTACTACTACTACTACTACTACTCAACAGCAGCAACAACAACATTAACAACAGCAGCAACAACAACAACAAGGACAAGGTCAAGACAGTCATGAGGGACGGGTACCCTGCGTACGCCTTGCCCGCACTGACTACAATAGTCAAGGCGGGCGAAAAGGACGCGCGGCTTGCACCCCCCCCACCCGCGCCCCCCCCTCCCCCCCAAACAACCCAGCAACCCCAACCAAACATACAAAAAAATACTCTCTTGAAGGCCCCCAGGGGAACCCCACTTCGGATTTCGATGTCTTCTCTGGCGCCACGAAGCGCTGTACTGGGTGTGGCGGACGCATGTGGCCACCCCACGGTGGGGCCTTAGGTGGAGCTCCCTATGGGGCCACGAAACGCTGAACTGGGTGTGGCGGACGCATGTGGCCACCCCCGCTGAGGCCTTGGGTGGAGCTTCCTATGGGGCCACGACACGCTGTAGTGGGTGTGGCGAACGCATGTGGCCACCCCCACTGGGGCCTTGCGTGGAGCTCCCTATGGTGCCACGAAACGCTGCACTGGGTGTGGCGGACGCATGTGGCCACCCCCCCTGGGCCCTTAGGTGGAGCTCGCTACGGGGCCACGAAGCGCTGTACTGGGTGTGGCTGACGCACGTGGCCCCCCCCATTGGAGCCGCAGCTTGATCTCCCTATGGGGCCACGAAACGCTGCACTGGGTGTGGCGGACGCATGTGGCCACCCCCACTGGGTCCGCAGGTGCAGCTCCCTATGGAGCCATGCAACGCTGTACTGGGTGTGGCGCATGTGGCCACCCCACCTGAGCCCTTAAGTGGAGCTCCCTGTGGGGCAACGAAACGCTGCACTGGGTGCGGCGGACGCATGTGGCCACCCCCACTGGGGCCGCAGGTGAAGCTCCCTATGGAGCCACGAAACGCTATACTGGGTGTGGCTGACGCACGTGGCCACCCCCACTGGGGCCTTGCGTGGAGCTCCCTATGGGGCCACGAAACGCTGTACTGGAAGCGATGGTGATGATGATGATGATGCTGTTGCTGCTGCACATGATGATGATGATGATGATGATGATGATGATGATGATGATGATGATGATGATGATGATGATGATGATGATGATGACGATGCTGATGATGCTGATGATGACGCTGATGCTGATGCTGATGCTGATGCTGAAGCTGATGCTGATGATGATGATGATGATGATGATGATGATGATGATGATGATGATGATGATGATGATGATGATGATGATGATGATGATGATGATGATGATGAGAAGAAGAGGGAGAGGGCAGCGGGAGGAGTAGAAGAAGACGCGGGGCGATGTCTCTTCAAAACGAGGACCCAACACCACAGGATGGTTGGGGGAAAAAACACTTCTCGGAGGGCGCGAGGGCTTCCGAGAAGCCCCGCCGCCTCCTGAGAAGGCCTTCTCCTTCTCGTTTCCCCCCCTCGCTCGCCGCCGATTCCCGGGGGGCCTGTTGAGGCCCGCTGGGAGCCTCGCGGGGGGCTTGCGGCGGCCCGCCGAAGCTGCCCGGGGGGGGGGGAAGGCTGCCGCCTGTGCGCAGCCGGGGGCCTCAGGAGCGGCGCGCCCCCCGCCCTATGGCTGCCCGCCGGGGCACCGGTCGGGCACTCGCTCTGCGACGAACTGCTTCGCCACCTAAGACGAGGCCAGGACGAAGACAGAGTCGGGTGAGGATACAGCAGGGGCTCGACCACGAGGAACCTCCCACAAGAAGCCCAAGCCCGAGCCCCCAGGGCGTCCATGGATGTTTGGTGTGGGAGCGGCACGCTGTCCGAAGCATCGGAACCCAAGAAACCCAAGGCACCCTGGAGGCAAGCAGGGTGTTTCTTGGCATGGGTCTCCACTGTAAATCGAGAGTCTCTGAGATCCCGCGGCGCTGGAGGATGCATCGGGCGCCGCGGCCTGCTCAGAGCGTTCCGAAAAACGCTCCGAGAACGTTCTGGAGCGCTCTGGCACGGAGTTGTCCTCGTCCTGGCCCCGTCCGACCACCTCACGCCCCGCCACTCGCTCCTGCAGGAAGTGCCGCACCGACCCGCGGGAGTTCCCAGACACGAAGTGAAGCACCTCCATCGTCGGATCGTCCCGCGGAGTCTGGTTCAGGCCGTCCAGCGCGGTGTTCGTGGGGCAGGCGGTGCAGCAGCGAAAAGTGCACTCCTGCCGATTGTACCGGAGGCCACTGACCACCAGCAGGCGCTGCTTCAGCTCGGGATCGCTCTTGAGCCACTCCTGTAGGCAATTACACTCGCTCTTGCATCGCGATCCGCCCTCCACGTGCGTTCGCACAAGGCTTGCGAAGAGGCGCCTGGTGAACGCCGTGTTCTTCACGAACATCATGGCGCAATTGATCCTGTCGGCGCCACCGCGCTTCTTGTAGTCCTCGTTGGCTAAGAGCAGATCCTTCCCAGCCGAGTCTAGTTCCGAGATCAGGTTCGCCACCGTGTCTCGCTCACGATGGACGAGGGCCGCGTCCGCGTCTAGCAAAAGCACGTGCGGCGCGCCGAACTCCTCGAGGTAGCGCAGCACCATGGCCCGGGGCACGTCAACTGTACCCACGCGCCGGTCCTGGCCCTGCCGATCCAGGGCCCGGGATGGTCGCCCACACCCCGATCCTGGGGCCAGGACGGGCCTGTCTGGGATCGGCGGAGATGGACAGCCGAGCGTCAGGTGAAGAGGGGGCCGTGCGCACGAGGAGGCTTACAGTCGGACCTGGGCCAGAAGAGACCCTCCGTCGGCCAAAACAAACAAAACATCCGAAGGTACCCTCCCCAGGACGGTGAAGAGGCAGCTTCTGCGCGCCCTCGCGCGGGCAACGTACGCGCGAGTGTCCGCGCAATCGACCACCTCCTTCCTTCGCGTCGCTCAGACGGAGTTGGAGTCCCCCGGATGGCGCTCTTCTCCCAGCAGTTGTTTTCCCTGTCGCTGTTGGCCTCGCACTTGAGGGCGCCCTCCGGGTCGCCGTGCTTGGCACGGAAGCAGTGTTCCCTCTGCCAACTGGTGGGGGGGGCGCGCCCGCCCTCCCTCAGCACCATCTTGCGCAGAGGACGCGAAGGGACCCTCGCCGTCGGCACCACCAACGTCCACAGCGATGCTGGCAGGCAAGGATGCAGGGCCCCTGGGGGCGGAAGAAGATGCCGCCAGACCAGGCCAGCAACTCTCGAGATCTGCGGACAAGAGTGGGCCGAAGAGGCAGGGGTGCGGTGGCAGCCTGGGTAAAGCGCTGCATCCTCAATTGTCGCGGTGGTCCCCGCAGGCGGGGTCCCATTCTCCCCTCCGGCTTGTACCCGTGCCGCTGGCAGAACTCGCGGTTCACCGCGAAGATCTGCTTAGCCCAGTCGGGGGCCTCCCAGATGCAGAAGACCAAACAGCAGCGGTGCACACCGGCCTTCGGGGGCCCGCGCCGACCCAGATATCGGGCCAGCGTCGGACGCCCCTCTCGACACCCCCGGGGGCGTCGCTCGAGGCGCAGCCAGGGGGCGCGGGGCGAAGGGCGCGGCGCCGACCCGAGAGATAGGAGGGCACCAACTATACACCAACACCGATCCTGGCCAGGATCACCCTGGGCCCAGGATCGGTGTGTACGCCCTCCTGCCCTGCGCAAGAAGGCATATACACCGATCCTGTGCCCAGGGTGATCCTGGGCCAGGATCGGTGTTGGTGTATAGTTGGTGCCCTCCGAAGTAAGTCGTTGAGCTGTGGATGTGTAGGCTATGTGGCGTAAGGTATGCGGTGCAAGCTGCGTGGTGCAATGCACGTGGTGCAATATCCGGCACCGTGCCTTGGGCACGCAGTGGACTCATGCAGCTCTGCGTGGTAGAGGGTTCGTGGTTCTGAAGGGCCCGAACCCCCCGTTTCCCAGGGGTATCCTGGGCGCTACTACTACGCCCTCATGGGGTGTGTCGCCTGTGCTTTGGGGGCGCCAAGAGTGCCTCGAGACGGGCCAAGAGGACCCCAAGAGGCCCTCAAGACGCTAGAAGTGGATCCCAAATCGTCGAACGATCGGTCCAAGACGTCCAAGATGGCCTCCGGCCGGCAGCGGATCCCCCCAAGAAAGACGCCCAAAGAGGCATCCAAAAAGCATCCAAAAAGGGCCCCAAGAGGCAAAATTCACTGATCCCCAGGGTGCTCGAAAGATGTTGGCGTTCTCGCCGTTTCGGCTTCCCGACCCTCCAAGACGACCCAAGAGGCGTTCAAGACCGCCCCAAGACGGCCCAAGAGGCCTCCAAGAGGGCCTCAGAAAGACCAAAGAAAGCTTCAAGACGGCCCGAGAGGTCTTCAAGACGGCCCAAGCGCCGCCAAGACAGCTCGAAGAGGGGGCACAGACGGGGGAGCCGAAGGAACATGTCGAGCACTCGACCCCGAGAAGCCCCCAGGAGGCCCACAGAGGCCCCAAAGAGACGCCCAAAAGAAGGCCCCAAGACGCCCCCCAGGAAAAAGTGTCCTCCGGAGGCTCCCGCGAGCGCTCCGAATGCATCCAAAGTAAATACCCGAGACCTACCCAACCCCTTCCTCCACGAGGCGAATAGTTGTATGAATGCTCCACACACGATATATTCCATCAGCGCTGTCCGCATGCCTGCCGTGCATCCCAGGAGCACACGAAAGTGGCGACAATTGCACAGTCCGCAGCCAACCAAGAAGCCGCGAGGTCTCGGCTGAATCCTCGTGGCCCCCGACCCCGCTGGACCTCCCAGGAGCCCACGAAAGTGGCGACGCCAGCGCAATTCGCAGCCACTCAGGGAGCTGTGAGGTCTGGTCTGGGTGCACGTGGCCCCCGACTCCGCTGGGCCTGCCAGGAGCCTACGAACGTACGGACAATTGCACACTTCGCAGTCAACCCGGGAGCTGCGAGGTCTCACTTCGCAGCCACACAGGGAGCTGCGAGGTCTCGGCTGAATCCTCCTGGTCCCCGACCCCCCTCCCAGGAGCCTACGAACGTGGCGACAATTGCAGAGTTCACAGCCTCCCAAAGGGCTGCGAGATCTCGGCTGGGTGCGGGTACTACCCTACTCCGTCGTGCCTCCCGGGAGCCCACGAAAGTGACGACGCCTGCGCAATTCGCAGCCACCCAGGGAGCTGCGAGCCGCGCACTCCCCGACTCCGCTGGACCTCCCAGGAGCCCACGAACGTGGCGACAGCTGCTTAGCTCGCAGCCATCCAGAGAGCTGCGAGGTCTCGTCTTGGTGCGCGCACTCCCCGACTCCGCTGGACCTCCCAGGAGCACACGAAAGTGGAGACCTCCCAGGAGCACACGAAAGTGGAGACAAATTGCATAGTTTGCAGCCACCCAGGGAGCAGCGAGGTCTGGTCTGAGTGCGCGTGGCCCCCAACCCCGCTTGGCCTGCCAGGAGCCCACGAAAATAGTTTCGCAGTTCGCGGCCACCCAGGGAGCTGCGATGTTCCGGCTGGGTCCACGAACCCCCCTACTCGACCGTGCCTCCCAGGAGCCCTACGGCCTACGATAGCGGCGACAGCTTCGCACTTCGATCCAGTCAGCTGCGAGGTTTCGGCTGGGTACGCGTATTCCCCGACCTCGCCGTGTCTCAGAGGAGCACACGAAATTGGCGACGCTTGCGCAGTTCGCAGCCACCCTGGGAGCAGCGCAGGCGGAGCAAGGGAGGGATGCGGGAGAGGAGGGGGGAACCACAGTGCTCTATTCAAAATGAGAAGACGACGCAGGAGGGTCGGGAACAAGTCATGCGGCATCCTCAGGGAAAGCGTACATGTTCGGCAAGTTCGTCTGTTTGGTCGTCACCATGCCCACGACCACCCAAGTGACCCCTTACATCGCGTCAAAACGACCCAGGGGAACCCCGAGAGATGCTGACGACCGCCCCAGTGGGTTCCAAGCGAGCCCAGGAGCCCCCTCAAAACACACGAGGAACAAAAACTCAAATGCACTACGTCCACGACCCAGACACGGCGACGAGATGGGCCGCAGGCCACTAAGATCCGCCGCCCCGCTGGCGTGCTACAACCGACGGTTTGGTTTTGGTTGCTGTTCCGACAAAACCCCCCCCCCACCCCTGGGGAGTTTGAAAGGGGCTGGTAGGCCCAGCCAGCAGCTTCGCCTCAGGCGAAGCCAAGCTCCCGCACTGTTGTACCGTAGTAACGATAGTCCCACTATGAGAGGATGTGCCATATCAATCAGTAGGAAGATCCTTTTGGTCTCGATAGCGATTGTGTGCCTCGCAGTGAGGCACAATCATGTTTGGGCGGCCGGCCGCTTGAGCCGACGCGGTCGCGGGCGCACGCTCGCTTCCACTCCTTACGTCCCTCAGCTCGCTTTAGAGTCGGGGGGGGGGGGGGGGGGGGCGAACCGTGAGCCCGTCGCCCCTATACAGCAAGCAAAGCAGCCAACATACACAAGGACAGAAGAGGAAGCGGGCCAAAAGGAAGGTGGACCCGCTCGCAAGTTGCCTCGCTTGTACAGTTCTGTACGCGACGCACTCATCAGGCGGCGTCAGAACTTGATGTCTGGCCGGCCCGATATGGAGCATGTCTCTTCAGGTCATGTCTGAAGGCCTGTATACCCCTCATGACTTGTAGGAGCATGTCTCTGTCGATGCTCCCTTGGCGTGACCATCCGCAGTCCTATCGCGGGTGTCGCACCACTGGATGCTGTGCACGATTCCACGCTCCATCATCTGTCGTATCCAACTGATGCGTCCTACAAGGGTACACTCAGTCGGTTTCTTCAAGTCTTTGCTTGACAAGGACTTAAAAACATAATCAGCATCGATGGTCAAGGTGACCTTGATGCTCAGGCCACCCAACTCCAGTATATCTTTCAACTGAGTGGGCGTAAGCAGCCCTGCGTGGAGCTCGTGCAGAGTCACAATCGTTGGATAACAGTCCTCCAGATTACGGGCCGCTGCTAGCGTCTCTGCTGAATAGCTCGAGCGAACCTGCAAGCGGTGAGACATGCAGTACGCATCGATCAAGTGAACGACTGCTTACCAGATGACGTGTTTCCACGTCGTAGCAGGTTTGCCCCGCGAATACCATAGCCTTTGACGCCGTGATCGGCGTCTCCACTCAGGCGTCGGTATGCTGAGTCGCTATGCAGGTCGACCTCGCCCGTGGGATTCATCGCCTGGTGGGCGATCTTCTTCGGGCAGGCCTGTAACTTCCTGGCGATCGCGTTCAGTCGTCGCACTTGAATGTTGGTCGGCTCTTGGGCGCGTTGTAGAGATACAACATACACCATCAACCACACCTGGGTGATTAATGCATACGCCAGCGCACCCATGAGGCTGACAAACATGTCTGCAACCATCTTGGTTGCCTGAGCGTCAGCGTCGGCGCCGGTCAATTCGGGCAGCTGTATAGGAGAGAGCTGTTTGATATATTCATCTTCGTCCAAAGTGACATCGCCGTCTTCATCCTTGGTGCCTCTCACAGCACAGTTGATGCATGTGTGCTTGTTGAGTTTACACTTACCAAAGGTATCTTCAACGCATGTGACAAACTTGCCAATGGTGCCCTCAGTACCAGCCACATTCATGTCATCAATATTGCTTGGCCATGAGCAAGCTGTTGCTTGTCTCGAACTCCTCGTCGTAGAACGTGGGTCGGAGACCGAGGCCTCTGGTGGTCCTCCTGAGCTTAAGTGAGAAAGCCCGTGGAGCGTCTTTGGTGCCTGTGCCTGGTTTCAAACACTGTAGGCAGCGCTGTGACTCGTCATAGTGCTCGAATCCTGGAAGAGCACGGAGCACGGTGGCCGATCCAGGCGGCAAAGTAAAACACGCCACACGCTCCTTTTCACCGATAGCTTCAGCAAGTTCCTGATAGGCCAGTCCCTTCAGGAAGGCCATGTTGATGTCGAGGGAAGCAATGATCCACTGCTTCTTGCACGCTGCCGTGCTAGCGAGTAACCTCTGGCTTGACCGTCTCGCTGTTCCCGAAAATGTTTCTACGTCGAAGGCTTCAAGGTCCATGAAACATCGGAGAACCAAGCGTAGTCTGATGGTACATTCCATATCGCCCTTCTTGTTCTTCACAAACTTCCATTGGTACACGTATCTCGAAGTCATGATGTTCCACGCTTTAGCTATATCTTGCATCTTAAAGCACTTGTTATCGAACCATGTCTTGAGTTCAGTGTAGAAGGCCTTCGATACTGTATCGGGATTCGCCTGGATCTCAGCTCTAGCGAGGAGGTCGTCTTCCTTGACGATCACAGCTCGCTTTGCAGCGGCGGTTCCGTATACTCGCAGAGTGGCTACCCGGTCGGCATCTTGTATCATATGTTGCTGGTCAGAAAGACTACCTTTCACATTTCTGCCGTAAAGCATAATTCGACAGATAGACCATTTTCATGAGTCCAGTCCGTAGTTGTCG